CTTTTCCTATTGATATTCATCTTTACTTGTGATAATACACAAGAATGATTCAAATGACCCAGATAAAATACTTTTGTTTAAAAAACACCAGAAGATGAGAATCTGGTAAAAAATGTGAATACAGTTTCCAAAAATTATTGCAAAAATAAAATAAATTCTTCGCTTGCGCATATAGGACGAAGTAGGTTATTGAAGCAGTGAAAAATGAATAAAAACCTCGTCTTATATGCAAGTAAATACGGTATATATAATTGTGATTTTAGAATGGAAATTATTTTAAAGAATAAAATAGAAAACAGGTACAAATTTTTATAATAATAATTGATGATTTTGATTTCTAAAATTAAAACAGAGCAGCATTTTTTAATAGATGATGATGATACTGAAATACAGTACAAGAGCTGCAAAATTCATTATTTTAATATTAAGTTTAATATAAAATTACAAAAGAACAACAGTATTTTTAAAAAAATTATAATTAATGAGTTTTGTTATAATATAATATATAGTCTTATGTTTTAATTCATTGATATTATATATTTTATAGGAATTAATCTGTCAACTGATAATCTTTTATAACTGTGTTATTAGTAAAATGTTGATCTTGAATAAAAATTTGACCAAAAGTACTTTTTGTCTGGATTGTTATAGCTAATTTATTGTTCTGGCATTGCCATTAGGACACTTTAGCCATGAGCATTGAGAAACTTACATAGTATCTTAATGGTAAACTTGCTAAAAATTGTCTTAGCATTAAGATAGAAAATAAGACCAGAAAAAGACATTTTGGTCAAATTATTAGAAAGAATAGAGACTTTTTGTTGTAAATTAACATTTTTTTGACAGACAATTTAATATTTTGATCTTTTTTAGTATTTCTTGAATTTCATAGAATCCTTTTGGTTCTTCAACAAATATTAATTCAAGTGAAAATTTTTGCTTTTATACAAAATTTAATTTTTCCAAGAGGATTCTATGAGTTTTGAGACTGGCAAATTAGTAAAATTAAATAAGATTTAATTTAATTTTACTGATATGGTAAGTATAAAATCTATATAAAATATATGTATGTATACATTTATTGCACTCCTTTTAAAACAGGTGGCACTTGTTAAAAAATTTCAGAATGAATGAGTGATTATGAAAATCTCAAAATATTTTTGTTACTTTATCAATCAAACTAATCTATTTTATTATCACATGTAATTGAAATGTTTTACTGATTAAAGATTGTTATTAGATTAGTGGTAATGATAAAGTATTTTACAAACAAGATATTGTGTAGTGATTCAAATATTTTCATAACACTGCTTTAAAAGATAGAATAAATATAAAAGAAAGCAGATTGCAGATTTTTTTCATGCTAGTGGAATGTGTGTGTTATTGCACACACTCAAATGCATGCAAATAATGTCTAGAAACAGTCTGGCAACTTTACTAGTACTGAAATGAATATAATATGCATAATATTCCAATGTCTAATTACAGAAGATAACTTAAAATAATTTTTTAATCATTTATATTGTAAATTAAATAATAATAGTATTTACAAAACACTATAGAAAGGAAATCTTGTTTACATTGCTTCCTATATTTGATACAATTTAGAAATTTTTATTTGTGAAAAAGTTATGGGCCATTTTCATAATCTAATCTATCAGATTCACAAGTTTTCTCTTATTAAAAATGTTTACTCCTCTCTAAAAAATAATTATAACTTTAATTATATGTAAGAATAAAGATTTAAATGTTGAGTTGAAAATTCTTTGGCATACATCTATGGAATGGTAAGAGACAATTATCTTTGTGTAAAGTGGGAAAGAATATAATAATTTTTCATATTTTGGTAATAACTGTGTTATTGTTTTTATTTCAAAATTTTATAATTTTGTGATGAAACTCAATAAAAAAGAAAACTTTAAAAATAACCACATTAAGACACACATGTTTTTCTATTGTGTGCCATTGTTTTTGAGTTTAGTTTCATCAGTGTGCTGATTTCATAATCCTTGGGTCATTTCTTTGAAATGCAGTTATTGAAGGATCTTAAGAAGTTGAAACAGAACACTGATAGAAATTAATTGTGCTGATGGCTGTTGTGTAGTTTGATTGTTTCTAACATTAAAGTAAAAGTATTTTAATGCTAGAAGAATGAAAATATTCACAATAAATTTTTATTAAATTATTTACTAATAACATAAACATGCAAAATGTGATATGCTGTTTTTTTCAGATAAATGCTAAAATGCTATCCAGTAAGATGTATGTATGCTGAAAGCATTTAAGATAAATATTAATTTTTAAAAATAAATATATGTTCATCTGATCCTTTTATACTTTGTAATACTATAATGCAATGCTTTGAATTTGTTTTTTGATTGATGTGCTAAGAAAAATATAATAATTTGGTATAGTTTGGTAGTTAGTTGATAAAAATATCTCTAACTTTCATTTGTAAGTGCCACTTGGTGAAAAAGGAGTAAAATAGATTAAGAACATGTTCATCAAATAAACCTCTATTTTCAGATAACGGCAGGTCCTGCGAGGCAGCCCTGCGAGTTGAGCGATTTCTTTTTTGTGGTAAATTTGTGATCTTATTTTAATGCACAGAAACTGTACATTTTTAGTAATAAAAACCAAAATATTACATTACATTAAAACTTACAATACAACTCTGAAATATTTAAATACAGCAATTCTCTTCTCTTTCGTGCTAATTTCTGCTCTTTCGTTTTGATTTAATAAACGTAATTAGATATAATTTTCTAGATTTTCAGATTTAAAATTGTTATTTCTGTTAAAAATTTGTACAGTTTAAATGATAGACAATATTAATGATACAGTATTAATAATTCAAAACAGTCTAATCTTAAGTTTTATGAAATGGAACTCTGTCCTTCATATACCCCAAGAATCCATTAAGATGTGCATTTAGTGCATTCCTAAGATATATGAAGGAAAACTAGTAAAATAAAAAATAGACTAATGCTAAAATGTAAAATTTCTTGAGTAGTAGTAATTTTTGTGTAAGTTTAGAAATTAAAGAGCTGTTATTTAACAAATTAATTTGTTAAATAAATTTCTTCATTAAAAAAAAGCCTTTTTGCTTGGATAAAAATTTCACTACAGCTTCATTCATATGCATTTTAAATTAAAAATTGTTTCTGAATCTTATAGCATGACTAAACCTTATTAACGCTTTGGTAAAAATGTAATAAAGTTCCACTTTACACATGTACAAAACTGACTATCCTAGTCAGTGCCGGCCCGAGGCAAGTTTTAGGATGGAGCGGGATCCTATTATGGCGCCCCCCTTGGTTGCCCCTAAAGGCTGGTATACACGGTAAGGAAATCCTCAAAGGATGTGCTTAACAGACGAAAAAAACTCGGATATAACTGGCTGGATCGAACATAGTAATTTACAAAACTTATTAAAATATCTCCCAACGTATAAAGAATTATTTTTATTTAAAAATGGATAGANAAAATTTTTTTTTTTTTTTGTATAATTTATATACTTATACAGGATTCAAAGAAAAGTCCAGACACTCTAACTTTTAAACCACCTGCCATAGTATCACAGAAATAATTTGATAACTATAGGAAAGTGACCATGTGCAGTCCAATGAACATGATTTTAACACCCTAGTTGCAAAATACAGAACTAAAGAAAAGTAACTAAGAAACTAAGAGGGAGGCAAACAGTCCAATCTTCAACATCTAAAACCCAACAGTTTTATATTAAAGTGAATTATACTGGACTATATTACCACTACTATTAATAATTTAATGCCAGATTTTAGTGTCAAATTACTTAGCAGTCATTTAGCTTTAAAAAGTCCAATTACAAAATGAAAGAGCATTGTTTAATTAATTAGTACAAAACGATACTTTTGTTCAGCAGAAACAAAGGAAAAAGCAGAAAAGACTAAGACAGAACATTAATGGAAAACCAATTTCCAATATTTGGCAGCAGATTTATTGGTTATGCTGGTTGTACAAAATGGCCACCACAGTTATCTGACTTAACACTGAACTTTTTTTCTTTTGGGATCTATTGTATTTTATAGGACTATAGAACTGGCAACTGTTGGTAACTATAAGAAAGTCATCATGCACAGATAATGCATGGTCACTTTCCTATAGTTGCCAATTTACATAGTTTACAATTATTATTTACAGCATGTGGTTTCGAAGTTATAAGAGGTATACAGACTTTCCTTTGAACTCCATATATATTAATTGTAAATTTGCTATTTTACGATTTATAAAATTTATCAATTAGCTACCATTCTTTCAATGTGATTACAAACCCCAGGCAATATTTAATGAGCTAAAAAAGAAATTTGTAGATTATTTTTCATTTTATTAATTACTTATTCTCAATATTTCTTAAATTACTAAGGGAATTGCTAGCAACAGAAATCATATTGGGAATATTTTGAAATACTACTATTGAAGAACGGGTTTAAACTCTACACACAAAATTATCAAAATTGGTCTTATCCATTCAAAATGAAATTGGCCAATGGAAAACTTGTTTGAATGGTTTTTCTATAAAAGTTCCCCTTGTAGCCTGACAAGTAGAAACAATTTTGTCATTAGCTACATAGTAGGAAAAAGTTTTCAGAGCTTAGAGATAAGATCTGTATAAAATTTTTATTTTTCAAACATTTTCAGCTGTTCATGCAACCATTAACAGGATAAAACAAATTTAACTTGACTATGTTATTTATGTAAATTAAAAGTATCATATTGGCAATACATCTGTTCAATAAGACATTTTAAAGATCATTTATTGTTTGTTTTTTGATTTTCTTCTGAATATGGATCAGATATGATGTTAATTTAGTAATACATCAGTGGAAACTAACAACAAATTATAAAACTTACATTGCACTTTATCTATTTTTACAACAAAATGACTATAACTACTATGATATATAAAAATTTTTAAGACATACTAGATTACAATTATTAACTGAAAGTTGATTTTATAGATAGATAAATACAAGTAGAGAAACAAATGACATAAGCAGAGGTCATTTTATTGGAGAAAGATGAGTACCTAAAGTAATTTTATTCACATTCATGTTCAATAGATTTTATAAAGATAGTCAAAGTTCTTGTGTAATAATTTAAGTGTTTTGTTACAGGATATGTAAGAATCAGTGTCAACATTAAAGTATTGATTTTAATAATTCCTCTACAGTTTCAAGGTCTAGCCCAATGTAATCAACATACTGATTTTAAGATAAAGATGCACATTTTCCAAAAATAAGGCAGGAAATAGTTTTAATATCATTAATTTTATTAAGATCATAAATATTGTGTGTACTTTATAAGATTTAATCAGCAATATAAGAGCTTCAAGATATAACAGATAAACTTAAGTCTAACGACAGATGAAAATATTTTTTTTAATTTAATATTTTGTAATTGTCTAATTAAAATTTTATTTAGTACTTAAGAGATATATGATAGTGTTTTGATAAGTGATAACTTTACACTTGATATTAGAAAAATAAAAATTTATTAATATTTTTACTCAAGCTTGTAAAGGAATCTAAGTAATTTTATATTTTGAAATTGGTCAGTCATTTTGAATTTGTAAATATATAAATTGTTAATAAATTTATTTACATTAATTAATAAAATTGATTAAATTTATTTATGCAAATAGTTTGGAATGCAATAGTTCAATATGATTGTTTAATCAAAGTGTTATTTAATGTGCTAATTGTAAATACTGTAAATTCATTTTTCCTGCTTTATATAATTTATTGGAGAAAATATTTCTAATGGCTTAGCATTTATTTCATCAAACATTTTAAACAAACAATATTTAGTGACTTCTGAATGGTTCTTGATTATTTTTGATGTATTACTTGTTAGTTTTTCTGTTATTTAGGCTAAATTGTTTAGTATAGTTCATAATGTTTTTTTAGTTTTAGCATATACAATTTGTGACAGTGATACACACAAATTTATGTGGAAATTATTAAAAATAATTTTCACCACTCCAAAAAAAGGTGACTTGGATTTAGAATTTAAATCTGAAACTCCTGCAAAGCAGTTAAATTGATAGAACTTGGTTTAGAATGATCTAGATCAGCGGTCCCCAACCTTTTTATTCCCGCGGACCATTCAACGTTTGATATTTTACTGCGGCCCACTGAGGGGGGACTTTGATTGTTTATATTTTACATTGATTTAATTTAATAATTTTAATTTAATTGTATTTAAACGTGCCTTCAAAATAAAATATAGTTACACCAAAAAATGAATATAATGTGATTTAACATTTTAACTCACTAGAACGTTAAATCAATGAGAACCCTGAACTTGTTTCTTTGCAACAAGATGGTTCCAATGACACCCGAAGTGTGTTTCTTATGTCCAGTTTATTCCATTGTTCCGTTGTCCATTAAAAGTCGCACAAATCCAAGAGAAATACACCATAGTAAATAAAATGGAAGTACCAGTAATTTAATGTTCCTTAGGCGGCCCGGTACCATTTGGTCCGAGGCCCGGGGGTTGGAGCTGTAGATATAGCTATCTTGAATACATATTAGTTGTATAGCTTGATTACAATGCTTAAATGATGCAGCATATGCATCTGGTCTTCAGGAATTTATAGGAGTAATTTGAGTTATGCTGAAAGCCCCTTTTTTTTCTCTACTTAATGTTTCTAAATTGTTAACTTCAATCAAAGAAACATTCAAAAGTTGGTCACTGTTTTGTGATATATCTAGCAGCAAATATTAATTTTTTTGTCATTGAATGAATGTTTTTTAATGATTATAATCTTATTGTTTAGCTTCTTTTTTTAAAATAATCAACTATTTATGTAACTTAATTATCAGTTTTTAATAATATCAAATAATAAATAGAAACTTATCTTTTATTTATCTTTTCATTATACTTTACAATTATTCTATAAATCTTATCATTTTAAGTGATAGTAATAAATAAATAATTTACAATTGATTATATATTTATGTAGTTTGTGTATTTTTTATTCATTTTTTTTATACTTTT